TGGAGGTAGTAGTAGTAGTAGTAGTAGTAGTAGTAGTAGTAGTAGTAGTAGTAGTAGTAGTAGTAGTAGTAGTGTAGTGTAGTAGTAGTAGTAGTAGTAGTAGTAGTAGTAGTAGTAGTAGTAGTAGTAGTAGTAGTAGTAGTAGTAGCAGCAGCAGCAGCAGCAGCAGCAGCAGCAGCAGCAGCAGCAGCAGCAGCATTAGTAGGAGGAAGGGGATGCAGAGGAGGAGGTGAACTGTATGGGTAGGTAGGTGTAGGCAGGTAGATATGGAGGTCAGTAGGTAGGTAGGTAGGTAGGTAGGTAGGTAGGTAGGAAGAAGGAGGAGAAGGAACAGGAGGACGGGGGCGGAGGAGGAGGAGGAGGAGGAGGAGAAGGAGGAGGAGAAGGAGGAGGAGGAGCATTTCGTGTTCGACCGCATTCGCGACGCGAAGTTTGAAAGATAACGAATCCCTGCGAGCTTGCTCTGCCCTGCTCAGTGCCCTGGGTCAGAGGCGTTCGGCACTGCGGGACGGATACTCAGACTTGTTGGAGTTTCAGCATTTGGTTGGCGAAGCATCCGCATCAGCAGCAGAACCATAATGTCTTCAGTGCACCGTGCAACCTCATATGGTGCGCGTGATGTACCCAGCCCCCCGCTCAGTGCAGTGTTCTTTCAGACGGGACCTCGAACAAATCACCGTAAACGGGGACGGGATTAAAACAGCGAGAGTCCCTCCACAAAGCTCGTCGTGCGAGGGTCGCGGAACTACAGCACCGAGTGCATCGGCGACTTGTTTCATCCAGGGAGTGGGTGGTCGAAACAATTTGGACCACAGCAGCGGCAGCAGGAAGGGTAAGGGCTTCGCGTCTTTTCCTTCCCTTCGGCGCAAGTAGATTCTCGGCCTCGAGCGTCTCCGCCTTCCATGCCGCCTCCGCAGTGGTGAGTCGCTGCCTGAGCCCACAGCGAGTCACTGATCGACCTCTGCACGTCCTGAATGAGAAGGCCTGGGTCGTCAACATCTGGCCACCCCGTCCATGCAGTGTCGGGGAAGTGCCAGTCTATAGACTCCGCTCCAGGCGTCGGTGCTGGTCGCAACCTCTATGTAGCAGTAGCTGGGCTCCATCCATTGTTCAAGAGCAAAGTGATGGCATCTGAGACTGGCCCTCGAATGTGCCTTGAAGAAGGAGGAGCAAAGTAGGAGGAGGAGGGGGAGGAGACGGAGGGAGAGGAGGATGAGGCGGAGAAGGAGGAGAAGGAGGAGGAGGAATGGAGGAGGAGGAGGAGGAGGAGGAGGAGGAGGACGAGGAATGTAGGAGGAGAAGGAGGAGAAATGTCGGACGGGAGGAGGTGGAGAGGAGGAGGAATGTAGGAAAAGGAGGATTAGGAGGAATGTAGGAGGAGGAGGAGGAGCAGCACGAGGAGGAGGAGGAAGTGGAGGAGGGGGAGGAGGATGCGGAGGAGAGAGGCGGAGGAAGACGAGGAGATCTGTAGAAGGAGGAGGAATAGAAAATGTAGGAGAATGAGGAGGGGGAAACATGTAGGAGGAGAAGGGGGAGGAGGGGGAGGAGGAGGAAGAGCAGGAGGAGGAGCAGGAGCAGGAGCAGGAGCAGGAGCAGGAGCAGGAGGAGGAGCAGGAGGAGGAGGAGGAGGTATATGGGATGAGGGGGAGGAGGATAATTGTAGGAGGAGGAGGAGGAGGAGGAGGAGGAGGGGGGGAGGAGGAGGAGGAGGAGGAGGAGGAGGAGGAGGAGGAGGAGGAGGAGGAGCAGAGTAAACCCAAGAGTCATCAACGATGTTGGAATCAATCCGCCCTCCAAGCTCCCTCTTCATAGGCCCCTACAACGGTTCATTTCCATGGAGGGAATTGCCTCGTTGGAAGACAACCGTTTGAAGACCGAAAACATGCAAAAAACATTGTTATCGGGATTTCAACGCCCCGGGTCAACCTGGCTGCTGCGTTTTGACGATCCGGAATTTTGACAGAACGTCTTGTTTAGGATTTCAGCATTGCGGATCAACCTAATTGATGTTCCCGCAATCCTGAATCTTTCCATTTCAGGTATGTTGATCATGGGAATCCGCGGAACTTGTCTGTAAATGTGCAAAACGAATGTGCGCGGCGCTAGGGCGAGAGCCACATTTTGAAAACGACCCGCCCTCAATCCGTGAGACTCTTGCATATTGTGAGAACGTGTGTGCGCGGCGCTTAGGCAAGAGCCACATTTTGAAAAGGAACCGCCTTCAATACGTGAAGCTCTTGCAAATGTTTAAAACGAATGTGCGCGGCGCCAGGGCGAGAGCCACAATTTGAAAACACCCCGCCCTCAATACGTGAAGCTCTTGCAATTCAAGGAAACGAATGTACGCGGCGTTAAGGCGATAGTCACATTTTGAAAACCACCCACCCTCAATACGTGAAGCTTCTGCCATTGTTTAAAGCGAATGTGCGCGGCGGTAAGGCGAGAGCCACATTTTGAAGACCACACGCACTCCATCTGTGAATATGTTTCCACTTTTAAAGCTTCAGAGTCATAAATGATGAGGACGTCTCAGGCGAAACGCACGGCCCGCCCTAAACACTGGCCTCGGGGTGCGACAGGGAGAAGTTATTTATTCAATCGCTTCGCTCATTCCGCCGGCCCTGGAGCGCTCTTTGGGGCCTTTTGGGGGCCTCTTGGGGGACTCTTGGGGCTCCTTGGCGGCGTCTTGGGGGCCCCTGGGGCCTCTTGGGGTGCTCTTGGGGGCCTCTTGGGACGGGAGGGGGAGGTAGTCGATAGCGGCTCCCCCGTCGGAGGCCACGATCCAAATGAGGGGTGTCGAAAAATGGCCCTCCCCTGGGGCGGGCCGGCAGTGGCCCGGGAGTGGCCGGGGTATTGTTCGTCTGGGGTCCCCAAGGGGCCGCCCCGCGCGCGCG